AGAGGAGGGGGCCTGATAGAGGAAGCTCGTATCTTTATTTTGAACTTTATGTCTTAATTGCAAGATGGACATGCACTTGACGTCCTAGCGCCTCAAAGCAAGCAGGCCACAAGGCTGAGTCTGCCCAGGCCGTGCACCAAAGCACCACTTCGTGACCTGAAGGGCGCAAGGGTGAAGGGAGTTGGGCACACCTACAGGGCAGGGCTGGGTCCTGAACCACCCGAGGGTTACCTGGCTGGGGAGGCCGGGCATGCTGGGAGATTCTGAACCACACACCTTGCTTGATAATAGCTTCACCCGCGCTTGATGTCCCCTGAAAGCTGCCTGCAGCACAGTAGCTGCCTGGCAGGGGAAGAGGAGAGAAACTGGTGTTAATTTCCCAGGAAGGCGGCAGGCAGGTACAGATTAGGGGCGATTCCAGAGGGAAAAGCTCGGGCAGCAGAGAAAATGACTTCCCTTACTACTGCATGATCACAGAGAATGAAAAGAACCTCTCACTCACTCAGACCCTCCGACAGCGAGAAACACGCCAATCCTCCAGGGAGAGAAGGCGCAGGCGCCCGACCCCCCAGTAAGCTGAATCTTGGAACACAAAGACGAATCACCTGTTAAATGCTATCAGGTTCAATTGCTAACACTAGTCTCTATTTTACACTCACTTAGGTCTTCGTGTTGGGAGAGTTTATTCTATTTCATACACGTCTTCTAAAGTCAAGCAGGGTAGAGCAGGATCTGACTGCTGCACAGGGTTACTTATCCTTTGACCTTCATCTTAAATGACTTTCTTGAGACCCAGCATGGGTGCGAAAGTCAGGGCTCTGGGTTTCAGGGCTGCACTTCTGTTCGGACGGCCCTGCTGCTAGCCAGGTTCACAACATCAGAGCTGGACAGAGGACCTGAGCTCTCGTAATGCCTCAGGAGAACGACACGCGGGCACACCAGGCCCTGATGGGGCACGTGTTCCCTTAGAGGTCTAGACGCCCCGTAATCCAAGTCACAGGAAAACCTCTGTGTCTCCGAAGACGAGGTGACGGAAACGACACACACACGAGGCTCAGAGACAAGAACAACGAAGGAGGTGACACAACATCCCTCATTAAGGGCAAAAGAACCCACTCGTCTCTGAGCAACAGGGTCGCTGGTTCGATGCCAGAGCTGAGCTGCCAACAGGTGGCAGGACGGCTCAGCTAAAAAAACCAAAAAACCCACTAGAGCAGTGTGTTCGCGCTAACCCAGGAGGTCTGCGCCTGGATGACAGCAGGGCTGCTGCACCAGCTGGAAGGGGGCGGTCGCTGACATGGTACCAGCGGCAGCATGGCACGGGGGAGCAAGCCTCCTTCACCCACATGCCGGGCCCACGCTGCCAACTAAGCCCTCCCGACAGCCCTACCCGGGGGTCTTACGGCCGTCCTGACCCCAGAGATGAGGAAACAGGCTTAGGGAGGGGCTGGGGGAGAAACGGTGGCATGTGGCAGACAGCCGTGCAGGCCATCTGGGTTATGACCGTGCTATACTGTCATCTGAGGCCCAAATTCATTCGTTCCCTCACTAGTTCAAAAACACTTATGAAACGCTAGGCACCATTCTGGTGACGAGGGGTGCAGCAGCAAGAAGACAGAGATGGTCCCAGCCTCCATGGCACTTACATTCTCACGGGAGAGACAAGCCATTAAAACGTGAAACATCAGGTAGGGATAAACGCTCTGAAGAAACGTAAAACAGGGCAGGGGCTGGAGAGCAGCGGTGCTGGCTGCTCAGAGAAGGGGTCTCGGGGGTGGGGGGTGGGCAGAGTGGCTGATGAACCAGTGGAGACCCGAATAGAGTGCAAGAGCCTTCTAGGCAGGGGAGCAGCGAGTGCAAAGGGCCTGGGGCAGGAATATGCCTGAAGTTGCCACGGAGGCCAGGGAGGCCTCCAGACTGAGCAGGGCTGGACAGGCTGGGGGCATAGCGTGCAGGGTCCTCAGGGAACAGTTTCGGGTTTTGTTCCAAGAGCGGGAGGAAGTCACTGCGGAGTGGTGTCACTTAACATTAAAAGCATCGCCTGGTGGCTACACAGGGACAGGCTGCAGGAGGGCAAAAGCAGAAGCAAGGGGACACTTGAAGAGGTCACTGCAGGAGCTCAGGTGGTTCTGACCTGCACTGTCCCCAAGCCAGCAGGTCTTGTCACCTTTGTCACATCCTGCTGTCCGCTCTAACTCCGGCTGCCAGTGGCTCCCTCGTGCTCCCGCCGCACAGACCAGCTCCCTTGTGAACAAGCCTCACTCCTTCGCACGCCCAGGGGTCCCTGCGGGACTCTACTGCCCTTCACCCGCTTCTCAGTCCCTCGGGCGCCTGCCCATTCTAAGGCCCAGCTCCAACGCCACCCCCGGCAGGGACTTTCCCGGCCTCGGCAAGACAAGCAGGACGGGCAGCCCCACAGCCCTGAGCACTGTGCGTGCAGCCCTAAGCCACACCATCCACTGAGTTGTCATTACTTGTTTACCTGTTTGTCTTAATGTCTCTTGTGTCCCGAGGGCCTGGCAGGTTGCTTGACACAAGTGATAATCAGTAAACGTGTGTTGAAATAATGAATGAATGACTGCGTAATTGTGAAGTGTGACGCTATCTAAATGTTTATTTGATGTTCATATCCCTTATGTATTTTGAACTTAATGTTGGGGTCTGGTCTGATTTCATGAAAACAAGCACTTAATGCCGTTTCCTGACATCTGCCCGCACTCACTTCACTCCAGAGTAAAAATACATATTTTGAAGTTGGTGAAATAAACCTTGCTTACCTCATCCAGAACAGCTTTTGTTTTCTGAAATAGAGAGACAGATTATGAATTAACACGAGGGTGAATGTTTGGCAATACTGCCCATTTTTCAGTCCTGACCCTGCCAGTCACCAGGGATGGGAAGGCAGTGCCCGCCGCTGTGTGACGGGTGACAAGCCAGGAGCTGACCAGGCTTCCGACAGCACTGCCTTTGCACCCAGCAAACGGAACCCCGCCCCCTTCCTGGGCACGGAAAGGTGAGCCCCACCTTTCTTCCCAGCAGGACTCAGCACCCTCACTGTGGTTCCAGCTGCGTCATCTCTCTCTCCCCTCAGCCCACGTCACCTCATTTTCTGCCGTCTATTCTGTCTCTCCTACATTTTCCTGCATGGCAACTGCACCGACCATGGAGCCCGCACATCAAAGGGATGCGATACGGGTGAGCCGGATGAACAGATGAAGGACAGAGTGGCCGGGGCCCTCGCTGGTGCAGACCAGCAGCCGCGCCTCTCGGGAGCCCTCACCTGGTGCCTGTACGCCTTCCACCGGGCCTGCAGGAGCCTGGCAGCGGCCTGTCTCCGCCCCTCCGAGCAGGTGCAGGGGGCACCAGTGTCATCCTGCTGAGAGGGACTGCTAGCAGGACGACAAGGTCGGGGCTGCTCCTGGGGCTGCGGGAAAGTCGAGGGGTAAAGGGTGACTCAGTCGGGCAGGACAATGGTGTCATGGCAGACGGCAGGGTAACACTTGGCACTTATCACACTGACTTTTAATTCAGAGGACAAATGTGCCCACACCGCTCAGCACGGCGTGAGACAGAAGTGAGTGGAGAAGCTATGCGTCAGCTCGGTTTCCAGTGACCTCCCTGACCTCTGTTGTAGCCCTGTCCTGGGACGAGGGGAAGGTGACAGCACCTTCCTATGGGGTCTGAGAGGCAGCTCGCTCAGATGACTCTGGAACACAGCCAGTAACAATGTACGTTGCAAGGATGACCTGCCATTCAGGAGTCCTTTCTGTGGTCTTGTTTGTCTAATGCTGTACAAAAGTGGGACTTTTGGGTTTAAAGGCAGCACATTTCTAGCTTGTTTTTAAGGTAGAAAGAAGCAAGAATTGCTACTGTAACCACCAAAGTAACACTGATTTCTACTACTTAAGGGCCCACGTGTATTAGCTACAATAAAAATAAAAATATTGGACTATTTTTCTCACATCGCAAATGCAAGCGCAGTGAAGACCCACGCTTGGAGAGAGGCCCGAGACGTAAAGGTGTGCGCCCCGCGGAACCGTAAAGCCACTGCAAGTCCGAGATGCCTGCCCACCGACGGGCCACAGTGCCCCAAGCATGTCTGCCGCGGTCGCCAGTCTCCTGGGTGCTGGCAGCCACTTCCCGCCACGTTCCCTGACATGCAGCCTCTGCTACCCAAGGGCTTCGCCCTTCCCTCTGTCCTAAGACCCCTCTGGACCTCCACTCCACTGNTTCGACCCCCAAAGGGGTCGCGACCCACAGGCTGAGAACCGCTGTTCTAGAGTCACCCCCCTCTTTGCTTCCTGCGCTCTGACTCCTCCCACTCACCAGGGCAGGGCCGCAGGGCTGCTGGCGCCCCTGGCCCCCTCCGCGCCTCGTCATCCTCGCCCTCCGGAGCTGGTCCCTCCACCATGTCCCCACTGCTCACTTCGCTGTCTTCTGAACCTGAAATGACATGCACACTAGAAACACCCAGGCTGCACACAGGAAGGACCTGTCACATCTCCTCACCTTTCTACCTGAGCATTTTTTGGTTCAAAAAACCTGATTCCAGGTGATTATTTTGCAATGTATGCGAACATTGAATCATTATGTTGTACACCTGAAACTAATATGTTATATTGTCAACTACACCTCAACCTCCCCCCCCACCAACAACCTGCTCCCTTTTAGAGATTTTCCTTGATCAGAAGCTTGGCTCCCTACCTGCCCCGACCTCCTCTGGTTCCACCTTTGCGACCTAAGAACTCAGTACAGAAAAGCCCTTCACGGGAAACTGCACACGAGCCCTGAGATCCCAGCAGCCTGCACGGCTCGTTCACAGACGGGACCACAAGGCCACACGCTCATCTTTTGCATTATAGTAACCGTCCAAGCCAGCAGCCACGGGGTCTCCTAAGTACAGCACAAGGGGCAAAGGATCTGAAGGACGGTCACACAATCAGCGTTGGGGGCTGAAAGCAGCTCCCAAGCTGCCTCCCCAGGTCCCCACCTCGCAGGTGAGGAGCCGAGGCCAGCCCATCAAGAGGGCGCAGAGGCTGGGAACACGCCCGGTGCTGACTGCTTTCGGACCTCAATGCAGCAGAGAAGGAGTACGGGCAAAGTTTTGCTTAAAAAACCAGCCAGGAGGGAAAATATTGGCCCAGGGCAGGGAACCACCTATTCCCGCTGGAGCTGAGAATAAAGTCCAGACACAGAAGCCATGAAGCTCTGACTGTGTGGCCTACAGGTAACTGCAGGGCTACACTGGCGTCACGGACACCGGGACTGTCTCCAGCCTGCCGAACTCCAGGGAGTCCCTTGAGGATTTTCTGTTTCCCTACAACCCAAGGGATGAGGCACAAAGCTGTGACAGGGAGGCTGGGCCGACGTATCTGCTGGCTGAAGGCATTACTTAGTTTGCAGGTGGCCGCAGGTGGGACCAGCATCTCACACGCACTCACATGTCCCATGCTTCCGGGACAGTGGCAGCTGTTTGGCTTAAACCTCAGAGGGCCAGCTGCCCCTCACACTGAGATCCAAAATGAAATGAAATTACCAGAAGCTGCAGGGAGGGGTGCAAAGGAGGGCTCGCTGCGAGCGGCTGGAGCGGGCCTCCTCTTAGCAGGAGTCACACTGGTGGTTCTTTTCCGGGTAACCCTGGGAAAGAGAGAGACTCTAGTGATCCCGCCCTCAAAGCCCTGAGACGTCAAATGGGGCTCCCGGGTTTCCTGTGGCAGTGGCCCCGGTGGAGTGACCTGCACAGCCAGCTGCACACCAGCTGAGCCCGGAGCCTGACCCAGGCTGGCCGTGCGGGGGCCTCAGGCGTGGCCTTCCTCAGTTTCCTTGGGGCGCTCGCCCAGGCCAGGCCTCAGATGCCTGCCTCCCCGCAGCTGTCCCTCGCCGCCCTGTTCAGCTCTCCACCCCTGGCCCTGGCTGACTGACCCAGGGATGGACCCCTGACCATGGTCTATGGAGCCAGGACCCTGTGGTTCTGACTCGGGCTGGCTGTCCTTCTGCAGAGAAAAAGTGTAGGCTTAACAGCCGTGGTGGCTCCACTGTCTGCCATGCAGGCTGAGAAGTGGAAGTCTGCGGAGGCGAGAGAGGGGCAGAGGCTGGCATGCAGAGGCTGAGCTTCCCAGGGCAGCAGACGCTGGCGCTGCCCACTGCAGGCCCACAGTATCCCCGCCCTCACGCCCGAGGCAGTCTCTCGGCCTCACTGTGACTCCCACCCTTGGCCCAGGTTGACTTAAATGGGTTCTGAGTGCTCGTAGNCCCAAGTCAACAGGGAGGGGGAGAAGATGTGCATTTTAGGTGGGCTACAGATCAAGACACTAGAGAACAGAAAATAAGCGAAATCTGGAGGCTTTGCCTTTCAAACTTAGGGTCACATTGAAAATTTCACAGCATTTATGTCTTATTTGATATACAGATTGGATGCCATAAACATATCACTGACTTTTTAAACCACTCTGCATAAGAGCTAATTGATGGCCTATTTTACACAAATTAATGCAAGTAAATTCTCTGAAAAAATTTGGAAAGCCCTCTAGAATTCCGTGTACACAGATTTAAAGCTCCCCCCCTTTTAATGATATAATATGACCAATTAATGTTTTCTTCTTACCACTAAAGCTGCCTTTATTTTACGACTGAAATATACATTTTAGAGCCACATAAAAGTATGTATGCAGCTGCTACCATGAGCGGAGCACTTCCCCCATGCTGACAAGGTGGTCTAAGCCTGGCAGGGACACCTCTCCTCTGGGAGCGGAGAGGTGCCTGCGGCGCCCGCGCTACGTACTCTCTTTCCTGCAGCTGCGCCTGCAGGGCCTTCCGCTCGCCTCTCAGGCTCCTCACGGCACCCCGGAGACGCTCGCTCTCCTCCTGGGCCTCGGATCGCGGCTGCCCGCGCACCGCAGAGCTGGAAGCAGAGTGACCCAGAGGGTCTGAGCTGTCCGCTTCTGAAGCGTGGGATCTGGGGCTTTCCATCGAATTTAGCTTCTGGAAGCAACACAGGCATTTGTTAGGCGTTGTTTGTAGAGATTCCCACTGATGTCAGCATCGCTCAGCCGAGGAACGCTCGGCCCCATTGCGCCTCTGGGCCTCCTCGAGGGACCTTTCTTCCCTAACAAGCTTTATTTTTAAACTACCCATAATTTATAAAAACTTATTAAGCTTTCTGCTTGTAAATATGTGAAATTCTTTTAAAAAAAATGTTCTCCACTAGGTTTACTCTGCTCTATCTTACCAGCTGCTCAAAAGGTACTCAAAAGGTAGAATCAGGCTGATGACTAGTTTGCAAATTCACCCGGAGATATGAGGAAATGTTAATTTCCCAAATTTTCTGGTTGGCAAAATGTGGATAAACAGAGTTTTCTGCGAACTCAAGTAACATCCACTGGTGAGAAGAACAATCTGGGAAGCGAGGCTGGTTTCTGAAAGGCTCTGGGGCCATCTGCACCCTCCCAGCTGTGACGGGGGTGGGGAATGGGGGGGAGGGGGCAGGCATGCGTGACGCTCGGGTCTTGCCCACCGTTAGCCTGTACTGTGCGCCCTCTGCAGACAGCGTTACCCCCATGGTCAGTGCCACCTCGTTCAACCCTAAGTCCTGGGAGCAAAGCCCCTTGTCTGTCCCCCGCTTTATCAGATGCCCAGCTACTCCTCAGGCGCAGGCAGGTCCTGAATAGGACGGGTGACGCTAAGAGGCGCACTCACCTTCTCCAGCTCTGCGATCCGTCTTAGCAGCCGGGGCTTACTCCACTCCGTGTAACCTAACAGAAGCAAAGAGTTTTTAAGGTAGACACACTTCACGCAACCACCACGATGGGCCCCTTCAGCCGGACCCCTCATCCCAAAGGGCCTGACAGTTGCCCTTCCCCTGGCTGGCACTGCGGTGGAGCCACAAGCAAAGCTGGAAGACCCACACCTGGCAGATTCTTGTGCTCAAAGGGCTTCTCAACAGCGAGGGAGTCTGTTCTCTCCCACAGTGGTCAGTGACGCCAATGTCTCCTAAGGCCTCCGTGTGACATTCTTTCCTGTTCTGCCCCTGGCGGCCATTCACGTGGTTCTTCTCAAGGCCACCAGTGTCTCACTCTGCCAGTTCCAAAGCTCACACCCTGTCTTCATCATCCCGGACCTACCAGCATGCCCTTCAGCTGCTCTCAGGATGCCACTCACGTGTCATCACACATATCCCCTCCCCAAACCTGCAGGCACCTCTGCCCTTTCAGGTGCTCAGATAAAAGCCTTGGAACCTGACTCCCCCCACCCCCTCCAGAGGCCACACCCAATCCCCAGCAGCCATCCGGAGCCTGGCCGCCTCTCCACTGTGGTAGCACCCAGTCCAGGCCACCAGCGGCCATTATGAGGACACTGCAGAAGCTTCCATCCTCCAGTCCCTTTTCTACCCATGGTCCACTCAGCACAGAAGCAGGGGTTCCTCAAGAAACAAGTGGGACACTTCCCACCTCTGCTCAGCAGCCGAGTCTCGGAGCAGCTTCAAGCCCCTGCACTCCATCTGGCCCCAGGGCTGCTCTGTCCCCACCACAGCCCGTTTCCATGCTGGGCACGCTGCTGCCTGGGTGGTCCCCAAGCACGCCAGGGCCTCCGCGCCCTTCCTCCGGACACTGGCATGGCTGTCCCTTGCCTCTCTCAAGCCTGTGCTCAGCTGTCACTGTCTCAGTGGGCCTCCCTGATGACCCTACTCACAGGTGCACAAGCCGCACCCACCATGCCTCCTTCCTTTTATTTTGCTCCCCAGCACTGTCACCACCTGCCCCGTGTCTGACCTGTCGGCTTCTCTCCCGCCCTGACACGATGTCACCTCCACGAGGGACATCTGCGTGCTTCCGCTCACCACTGTCTCAGCACCCAGCAGGTGCTAAGTTCTGCACGTTTTAGCGTGGCGTGGCCCAGCGGTACGCACGTCTGTGGCCAATGAAGTCGGCCCTGGCGGCGGGGAGGGCCGTGTCTTCCCAGAGAGGCAGGCCTGCCCCTCGGTGCCGCTCCTGAGGCGGCTCTGGAAGGTACCTTTTGTCCTGGAGACGGTGGGCGAGTTGCTCAGCACGCGGTCCAGGTCCTCCTTCAGAGTCCGGTTCTCCTCCGTGAGCTCCTGGACGCTCCGGGACAAGCTCAGGAGGGCGCTGCTCATTTTTTTCTGCCTTTTAAGGCCACTTTTCTTCTCCATGGGAGGCCTAGGAACCACAAAACCAAGCGGCTAAGGTTTGGGTTTCAGAACTGATTGCACAAATGTCGTGAATGAGGGGGGCGTGTGGCCGGGGCTGTTGGCAGGTCACCCAGGGGCACGAGCCTGACCCAGGGAAGCAAACTGCTGTCCCCTAAATAGAGTTCTGCTCGTAATCAACGCTCAGTTATCTGAGGAGTCTGTGGGCATTCATTTCCTCTTGTTCCATAAGCACCTGTGTAACAGCTTTAATTTTGCCTCTTGCCCCAGAGTCTAAACCGCAGTTGCCCCTCGCTATTCAGGTTCTGTGCTTGTTTGCACACCGGCCTGTTCGCTACAGTCTGTGGGTGGCCCCCAGACCCACACTGCGGCACGTCAGGCTCACTCATGGTCACGGGCAGAGGGCGAAAACAGTCGCCCGATGGGCATGTTCCCAGCTGGGGCTGAACGAGGAACTGCCCTGCCTGCGTCAGCTCTCGCACTGTCACTAAGCATCACTTTCGCTGGCTCCTGGGCACGTGCGCTTCACGTTCTGTCCCTGCGTCGCTGCCTGAAACGGCCGCCTTGGCGCAGTGCCCCGCCAGGTGGGGGGCAGCGAGGGCCGTGAGCTCAGCATCAATGAGTCCACAGGACCCGCTAGGGAGGCGTCTCTGAACAGCACGCTTAGACACAGGTTACATGTTGGCAACCTGATGAAAGCACGCTCAGAGGCTGTCGGGGACCTGCCTCGGCACCCCCAGAGCACAGGCCGCCACCCGACAGCTCTGTCCGTGCAGGCGGCAGGACCCTGCTGCCAACAGTGAGGACCGACTGTGCGTGCTCTCTGGGCGTTTCCAGAGGGGTGTGCCAACCCGCTTTAAGCTACTAGGGGGAGAGGGAAAAAGGGGAGGCTGAGCCGGCATGCAGGTGCTCGACAAATGCTCACGAGCGACTACAGGGGCAGCGACAAGACGAGCGCGACAGGGCCGTTCCTCCCACTGTTTGCGGAGAGCCCGCGTTGTCTGGGGCAGGGAGAAGGGGAACCCGAGACAAGGTGACCCGGACGTCTCTCCTCAGAGGCTCAGTTGGCAAGATAAACTTGTACTTATATTAGACATATTCCTAGCAGGAAGGCCTGCCTGGAAACCAGTGCTTTCTTGTTCTAAGCGGGAAGCTGCCCGGTACGACGAGCGACCGCGGCTAGCAGTCGGCTGTAACCACCCCACCTGGAAACACATCAGCTCTGACCGCTGACAGAACGCGCACAGGTGCTGGCGCTGCTACCGAAGTGGGGGCAGAGCGTGCAGCTGCCCTGGAGCGACCGCCCTACTCGGAGAGTGTAACAGGAGCACACACACGCGCACGCGCCCACCCAGATGATCATACTTCCTTCCTGTCGCTTCAGAACTCGCCAGGAGAGTCTGGAGACGATGAATCTGTAAATACCAAATTAAATGCGTCAAAACACAAAATGAGCACGACGGCTTCCTCTGACAGAGCTGCCATCAGGTGCCCGATTTCTGTCCCCGTGGCTGGAGGTGAGCGCTAGGGGCCGTGATTCACGTTCACATTAAGGCAGGAGAGCAGGCTCCCCACAGCCTCACGGGGCGATCACCCAGACCAGCAGCTGACCCCGTGCGCCCTCTCCGACTCCGCACCCCGCTCTGGGCAGAAGGGCACCCACCTCCTCGTAGTACGTCTCCATGGCAATCTGCATCTCTTCCAAGTTCGTGGTCTTCATATCAGTCTGCAGTTTGCTAAAAACCCAAGTTCAGAGTTACCACGGCAATGCCAGCATTCTCGGGGCGGAGAAAAGGAAGGGTCCCCAGGACATCAGAGGACAGGCTTTGGGAGAGCTGGGCTGGAAGGGAAAGGCTGAGCTGGTGGCCTCGCACAAGACCCCTTTCCAGGCTGACGAGGGAACGGCTCACACCTACAGGGTCCCTGTAGAATGGACCAGCATTCCCCAGGTGAGGTGACAAACTCCCTAATGATGCTCTTTACTGAGTAAGAGGCTGTTAAAACTGGAGTCGTGAAGAAAGACCTCCGGGGTACAGAGGACAAACTTTGGGGTGGGCGGGAAGAACAGTCGTATAAAGGAGAAAATTGTTTTCTTCTTGTAATGTCAGTACAATTCTCCTTGTTCTCAATCTTTAGATAAAGGCTCTAACAGAGAAATGAAAGTTACAGGGCTCAGGACTCTGAAAGAGAATAAATCAGCAAATAACTTTTTTTTTTAACTTGACACATTTAGCAAGAAACACAGAAGGGGGAACTACTGTACAAGGAGGAGGCACAAGGCAATGGACGTGGAGCCTCAGACTCCCCTGAATGAACCCAGTCGCAGCCAGGAAAGACTCCACCTTCGCATTAGAGCAGCGGGAGAGGAGGGAGCGGAGCCCACCAAGGGCAGCGCCAGGACGCCCGACGCAGGGGCAGCTGGGGACAAGTCTGAGCATCGGGGCTTCTTGTGTCAAGACACACAAAGTAGGAGATAGAGAGTGATCCACAGGAGACCGAGGACAGGAAGCATTTCTTAAATGTGACAGGAACAAGAAGAGATGAAAGGAAAATACTGTTCCTTAGTGACATTTGGAAGATGACATTAGTATTTACTCTTTTTTTTTTTTTTGCTAGAAAGATGACGTTGGGCCAGGGACGCAGAACAGAAGACGGCAGTTGGAACAAGGGTGGTCTGAGAAAACAGAGCCGACACTGACACTGAAACGAGCCAGGCCGAGCGGGCGTGCGCGCCAGGGAGCCCCGGAGCCCCCGCCCGCGGCCGGCCTGCCGACCTCTCCGTACTGGATAGTGCTGTCCTTGTCCTTGCATTGCTGCTCCAGCTTCAGCACCCTCTGCTTGAGCCCATTAACGACCTGCCAACAGAACGAACACCACATCAAGGTGACGCCGCCAGCCTGCGGCGCCCCCGGAGGCAGGCCTGTCCTGTCCCCAGGCTGGGTTGGCCTCCCCTACCGGGTGACCCGGCAGCACCACACATCCTCCCGCCAGAGCGTCTCCCTGCTTCACTGTCCTGCCTGCTTCATCGCTGGCTTCTCTTCCAGACTCCAGGCCAGCGAGGGCAGGGAGGGCCATGTCCGCTCACCCCGCAGGGTGGCGAATGAGCAGGCAGGGGCGGCAGCTGGGCTGCCCGGAGCAGACGCACACCAAGGACTGGCATGCCCACCAGCGACAGCTTCCCTCCGTCTCACTCCACACCTAGCACACAGACAGCGCGCTCCCCGATTACTTTCCAGGAAGACGACACAATCGCTAGATACAAAACCACCAACCCTGATGCGTCCACATAGTCCCTGGGGTGAGCAGGGCTGAAGGAGGCAGGGGCCCGGGGCGTCCTGAGGGGCCCTGCGCCCCTGTGTGACCTCAGGAGATGTCACCCTTACATTCATGAAAGAACCTCCCTTTCTTTTTAAATTGGATTTTAAGGTAAACTTAAAATATAGTAGTAATACATGAATACATTTTCTTGTAAAAATAATGAAAACTTTATAGCTGAAACTATACCCTTTGACCTTATCTCTCTCAATCAAATATTGGCATCAATGTGATGTGTATCCTTTAAATCGTATTATGTGCCTGCCCATGTGTACCCCCCTGAAATTCTGGCATTTTGTTGTTTACAGAAATGCTATCCAACCACACATGGCATCCGCAGCTTGTTTTTGGCTCAGCAAGCCATCTTGGTGACCTGTCCCTGCTAGTGCCCTGTCTACGCTCTCCCACAGGTGGCCGCCCACGCCCGAGCGCCCCCTTCTCCCACTGAGACATGTCAGCCGGACCCATCTGTGCTGTTACAAACGACCCCTGGATAGGACTCCTCGGCCAGCCCCCCTCAGGCACACGCGCGTGTCCTTAGCGTACATGGTGCCAAGTGGGAATGTGCAACCACAGGACACACACTCTGACGGGCAACTGGCAACAGAGCGGCGCGTCCCGTCATCTAGAATTTCCACTTTTAACCGGCTTTAATGAAAAAACACACAGCAGCAGAAAAAAAACAATGAGCCCTTTCTGTTTTTAGAACCCTACGCCCTCACCCAAACCATGTACATATCTCTGAACATAGTGCCATGGTTTTACATTTTATGTTCTTTAAGAAGTTTTTCCTGAAGATATTTCAGTGGAGTGCTATTCCAATTTCAATGGCTTCTCCTCAATTTTCCTCCCAAACCGACCAGCTATAAATACCTCATGCACAGGCTTTTTCTCATAGATTTCCTGGGACCAGGTCCTAACAGCAGCATGACAAGTGGCGGCATGAGTTCAGCCCACTGCTGCCACTTGTCAAGCAGAACTAAAGTGCAGTGTCTGGTTCCGAGAGCCCCGTGCGCCCTCAGCCCTGCCCACAGTGGCCTTCATCTCCGTGTTTGCTTTGCTACTTGGAGGCGTGAGGTTTCACACACAGCACCTGAGGGCAGTGTCTTCACTCAGGTATTTCCTGCCAGTGAAGCGACAGGGACCCAGGTGGATGGCAGCCTCGTCCTCACAGGGCTTACGGCCATTCACTGTGAACCCACTCTGGGTGAATCTCTCAAACTGTTTCCTGACTTTAAAAATGGGGATTGAGGGCCGGCCGAGTGGCGCGATGGTTAAGAGCTGGCTTGGATGACAGAGGGCCCCGGTTCGGATCCCACATATGAGGGCCAGTGACACTGCCCTCCACAGCTAAGATGCTGAACAACAGCTCAACCTGGAGCTGGGCTGCCGNGTGCGGTCTCACTTACCTCAAAGCCTCCTCTCTCTCTCTCCGCTCCTTCTCAGCCTCCTTCACATCTTCCAGCTCCTTCTGCAAGTCAGCCTTTGCCTGGAGCAGCTGCTTCACTTCCAAACTGAACACAGAACCAGAGACATTTGTGTTCATTAAAACAGAGGACCAGCTACACCAAGCATCACAGAGCAGGAAGAGATCGCAGGAAAAATAACAGTCCCGCTCCCTGACTGTGGCTGGACAGTGGACGGACGACACAGGCAGAAGGAGAAAGGAAGAGCCAGGAACAGGCTGGAGCCCTGGGTCAGCTGTCACTGAGCACCTGCTGTGCGCCAGCCACCTCAGGTGCAGGGCACATGGTGGCGAGTGAAATCAGACTGGCTGAGGTCCCTGCTCTCACGGTCTCCCCCAGCAGTCACACAGCTAGGTACCCAATCCGAGCCACCATGGACTAGATGGGTGCTGCCTGAGCAGAGGCCTCGAGGACAAGGGGCCTCCCAGGCACCTCCAACCCAACTGCTTCCAGATGGGCTTTCCTGTGTCCCACAGGGACATGTGGCTAAGAATGTGGCTTTAAAACGACCTCTGTCTGCAGCTCAGGTCCGTTTATGTCATGGTGACCTAACTTTTCAAGGTCCTGTGCCTCTCCACATGAATGAGATCATACACCTTGAGTGGTGAGCAGAGCAGGACACACAGTAAGGACTCAATAAGCGTCGCTGTTATCAGGCCAAGCGACAGCTTAAGACGTCATCACAGACATGACTCCCTTTCAAAATGGCTAGCCTAGTTTGTAAAACTTTTCATGAAACACTAACTTTTACAAAGAACCTATCAACACGTGTAGATGCACCATTAGACTTTGACTGCAGGTGAAAGAACAGGCACAGGCACATGCGGAGGCCTTGGCCTTCTGTAACGGGTCCCAAGTCAGCAGTCAGTCCTTCTCAGGCCTAAATGCACACACAAGTCACGGGGGGTGGGGGCGTGGGGGGCGTCTCATTAGACACAGAGCTGGATTCCAGAGATCCAGGGCAGCGGAGGTACTGCAGCTCTAACCAGCTCCCAGGTGGCACTGAAGCGCTATCTTCCCAGGCCACGCTCTGAGTAGCAGGGACTGAGCAATAAACATCTCAGAAGACCATGGTTTTAGCTTTCTCGTGACAGAAGCATGACTGGAGAAGCCCCAAGTCAACAGGGAGGGGGAGAAGACGTGCATTTTAGGTGGGCTACAGATCAAGACACTAGAGAACAGAAAATAAGCGAAATCTGGAGGCTTTGCCTTTCAAACTTAGGGTCACATTGAAAATTTCACAGCATTTATGTCTTATTTGATATACAGATTGGATGCCATAAACATATCACTGACTTTTTAAACCACTCTGCATAAGAGCTAATTGATGGCCTATTTTACACAAATTAATGCAAGTAAATTCTCTGAAAAAATTTGGAAAGCCCTCTAGAATTCCGTGTACACAGATTTAAAGCTCCCCCCCCCCTTTTAATGATATAATATGACCAATTAATGTTTTCTTCTTACCACTAAAGCTGCCTTTATTTTACGACTGAAATATACATTTTAGAGCCCCATAAAAGTATGTATGCAGCTGCTACCATGAGCGGAGCACTTCCCCCATGCTGACAAGGTGGTCTAAGCCTGGCAGGGACACCTCTCCTCTGGGAGCGGAGAGGCGCCTGCGGCGCCCGCGCTACGTACTCTCTTTCCTGCAGCTGCGCCTGCAGGGCCTTCCGCTCGCCTTTCAGGCTCCTCACGGCGCCCCGGAGACGCTCGCTCTCCTCCTGGGCCTCGGATCGCGGCTGCCCGCGCACCGCAGAGCTGGAAGCAGAGTGACCCAGAGGGTCTGAGCTGTCCGCTTCTGAAGCGTGGGATCTGGGGCTTTCCATCGAATTTAGCTTCTGGAAGCAACACAGGCATTTGTTAGGCGTTGTGTGTAGAGATTCCCACTGATGTCAGCATCGCTCAGCCGAGGAACGCTCGGCCCCATTGCGCCTCTGGGCCTCCTCGAGGGACCTTTCTTCCCTAACAAGCTTTATTTTTAAACTACCCATAATTTATAAAAACTTATTAAGCTTTCTGCTTGTAAATATGTGAAATTCTTTTTAAAAAAATGTTCTCCACTAGGTTTACTCTGCTCTATCTTACCAGCTGCTCAAAAGGTACTCAAAAGGTAGAATCAGGCTGATGACTAGTTTGCAAATTCACCCGGAGATATGAGGAAATGTTAATTTCCCAAATTTTCTGGTTGGCAAAATGTGGATAAACAGAGTTTTCTGCGAACTCAAGTAACATCCACTGGTGAGAAGAACAATCTGGGAAGCGAGGCTGGTTTCTGAAAGGCTCTGGGGCCATCTGCACCCTCCCAGCTGTGACGGGGGTGGGGAATGGGGGGGAGGGGGCAGGCATGCGTGACGCTCGGGTCTTGCCCACCGTTAGCCTGTACTGTGCGCCCTCTGCAGACAGCGTTACCCCCATGGTCAGTGCCACCTCGTTCAACCCTAAGTCCTGGGAGCAAAGCCCCTTGTCTGTCCCCCGCTTTATCAGATGCCCAGCTACTCCTCAGGCGCAGGCAGGTCCTGAATAGGACGGGTGACGCTAAGAGGCGCACTCACCTTCTCCAGCTCTGCGATCCGTCTTAGCAGCCGGGGCTTACTCCACTCCGTGTAACCTAACAGAAGCAAAGAGTTTTTAAGGTAGACACACTTCATGCAACCACCACCCCTTCAGCCGGACCCCTCANGTGGGAATGCCTTTCAGGCAGGAAGACCCAACACTAACACGTGCTTATTATAAAAAACGGAGACAACGCTAAGAGAAAGTAAGACGCGCTTGTGGTCCCGTCACACAGACGCAGCTGCACTGGGGTGGCCCCTGCAGACTTCCTACGGGCACGTGTTTTCCTCATATAAGGGATTGGCACAGTGACCTCTGAGGGGAGGATTTGTGTCCAGCAGACAGCAGGCCTCGGGCATCTTCCATGTCAGTGAGGGGACATCAGTTCCGCCCTTCATAAGGCGGGTGACGTGCCCTGACTGGAAGCCCCGCCTGCCGCGTTAGCCAGCTCCATCGGGCACCGGGCAAGGCTGTGGTGAGGCGCCCGTGCCGGGAGCTGGCGGGGCTTCCCCTGGCCCACCCTGAATGGTCTGCCATTTGTTCCTGCCATTTAAAGGGACAGAGAGTCTCCAGGTTGCCTAAGATGCTAGAAAGGGTGTAATTCTGACACCATGCCAGTCTCCGCGCCCAGGCAGGACAAATGCAGAGGCTGACTGAGGACGTCCCTCCTGGAGAAGTCTGCTGAGGCTGCTGGCGTGGCCACCCCACCTTGCAGGAGCCAGGAGGGCGCGATGCCGCCGCGCTTCGTGTCGCCGTGTAACTAGAGACGTGCTCACCGCCTCTCAAGGCCTCACTTAGCTCTTGTCCTTTGTCCCTTGCACTGGAGCTGAAGTACACGTAGTGTCATGTGCTCGGAGGCAACGCCTGAAAACTAAGGCTCCGCTAGATAAGCCGGTCTTGGGAGACGGGGGACAGGACAGACTTAAAACAACAAACCACTTTTATTTTCAGCTGTGAGCGGATCACTCCACCCTGCAGCCTGCTAGCCTCCCTCTGGTGGCCAGTGACAATCTGTCTACTGAAACTGCAAGTCACTTGCTGAAGCAATAGGACTTCTTGGCTAAAGTGTGTGCCAAACAAGGTCCCTCCGGCCTGGTGGGTCCCCAGGCACTGCTCACACCTCAGGAAGCAGGAAGGGCCACAGAGAGGGGATCCAGGAGGCCATCGCACAAACCCTGCCCGCCTAGCGTGCACTCGCCGACACCCCCAGACCACATCTAGTTTTCCTGTCCCACGTTTACGTGGCGGCTCCTCTGGGAGCAAACTGCAGCCTCAGGACTCTAATACCTCTGCTATTTGTCGTGTTGACAGACAGCGGAGCATACCTGCCACCTCAAGGTTCCAGCTCATCGGAGAAAAGGATTAGCGAGAAGGTGCATTCTAGCCCCCAGAAGTCCAGTGCAGGGAGCACTGGGCCAGCGGGGACCAAAGGGCTCCCCTCGTGGCCACATAAATGGAGGGAGCAAGGAGACAGGGACAGGGAGGACACCTAGACTCACCCCTTACCTGCCCGCAGGTCCTGCCCAGGGAACCTGCCATTCACTGAAGGCAACACTGACTATCGGGTCAGAACTTCGGGATTCAACAACACACGATTTATAGAAATCAACTGTGACGACCGAAGGGGACTGGACTGTCGGCGTTGGAGTCGGGAATAGTCTGGGTATGGAGACCATCGGCACCGTTACGGCCCGGCCGAGGCCCAGCACCCTGCACCATACCTCAGGGGTCACGTCCATGGGGTCACCTTCCTCTTTCTTCATTTCTTCTAGTTCTTGAAACTTCTTGGTAAGGGTTTGAACTTCCTCTCTAAAGCGGGAAGGGAAAAGATGACACATACCTGTCATCACGCGGTGTGTGACGTCTGTGCTTGACAGTGGGGACGGCAGCCTGCAGAGCTAGCATGGACGCCTCTCCCAGAGCCACCTGGGGCCCCGACCGCCACCCACTGCACCGCAGGATGGCGCATCTACTGTCTATCTCCTCGGCTGGACGGGACTGAGGGTTTTGGGGCCTAGCGCCCCTCCAGGCGCGTGGTTAGAGCTGAGAAAACACTGATTGCAGAACTATGACAGGCAGGTCATTGGGGTTTTATAATAAACAATGAGAATGGAAGGAAATACAACTGATGTCGTCGCTACAGATTTTAAAGGCAAAGTAAAAATAACTCTTTAGTGTTCACCTGCCCTTTCTGCTTTAATTCTAGCCTTCTAACAAAGTCTAGTCACATTTCTCCTGACAACGCAATTTTTAACGCATTTCAGTAATCTGTGTCTTACTAATTATTCTGAGTGCTACATATTTCTGCTCAGATGTCTAATCTACTTTTGGGGGGATTATTAAATTGATATAAACTTCATAGAACATAAAATTCACTATTTTACAGTGTACAATTAAGTGGGTATTAGTACATTCACAGTGTTATACAACCATCACCACCATCTACCTCGAGAACCTTTCTGTCACCCTGAAAGCAGCTCCCTACCTGTCCGTCACTGCCCTCCCCTCCCCCAGCCCCGGGCAACCACTCGTCTACTTTCTGTCTCTGCATTTGCCTGGTCTGGACACTTCAGAATCATACACGCCGTGGCCTTTTCTGTCAGCCGTTCTCACTCCGCCTCGCGTGTCTGAGGCTCATTGGTGCTGTCACGCCTGTCAGCGTTCCCTCCTCCCCCCTCCCGTGTGGGGACACCTCAGTTTTTTATCTGTTCATCAGCTGATGGACATTTGGGTTGTTTCCACTCTTTGACTGCTGTGGACACTGATATGAAGGCGTGTGGCAGGCAACTGTCCCAAGGAGGTCACTGACCCCTGGGCTGAGTCTTTTTTTTTTTTGCTAATATAGATAATTTTTAAAATTTATTTTTGTTTTCAGTTACAGTTGACATTCAACATGATTTTATATTAGTTTCAGGTCTACAGCATAGTGGTTAGACATTTATATAAGAAGCGATCCCCATGACTGGTCTAGCACCCACCTGGCACTGTACATAGTTATTACCACATTACTGACTGTATTCTCTACGCTGTACTTTACATCCCCATGANCTAGACTGAAGAACAAAACGACAGCAACTTGTCTGTTCCCCTTCCCCCAATTCCCCAGCGATGTTCCCATCCCCCAACTCACCAATAAAAATCTTTAAAAAAAAAAGGGGGGGATTGAAGTTACCCTATTGCCAAAAGTCAAATGAGATCACGTACGTGTGCAAACTGCAATGTTTTAAGGGTCGCTATTATGTAAAAACTATTTTCTGTGGAGAACTGATTCCTTCTCAAGCACTTAAAAGAGTTTGCATGCTGCTGTCCTCACAAGAGCTGCTGTAATCACTCAGAGCTTTTCTTCTTTACAGAGTACAATCTGTATACTCTGGGCAGAAAAATGCTGCATTGATCAATAACATCCTCCCCCGCCCACTATATTGATCGTTTCTGTCGTAGTCTCATGGGTTTTTATTATAAATTCATGTTATCACATCATTAATCACATCCTAATGTTATTTTATCCTTTGTGTTCAATAATCTTGACATTGTACCCCTTCCGGGCTTCTTTTAGCATTCACATGGAAAAGAGGTACTTCCCTGACTCACAGGAGCTGTATTGTGATACAGTTTCCTCCAATGCTAGTTTGTTGCCATAGCATTAATCTTATCATGGCTCCATTCCCCATCATTTTGTTACACTCACTCTGTTACATGTTATTAAATCATATGGGAGAGCTGTCTGTATGTTTTTTAAGGTTTTTGTTCTACTCCTGCTTTATTTCTGTTTTAAATCAGTATGGCTTGTTAAGCATGTATTCCTTTAGGCATGACGGGCAAGTCCCCCGCTGTGACTGTTTTTTCTAGAATAAGTTTTCGGCTTGTGGGAAGCCTGCTCAGCTCCCTCACTCCCCCTCACAGCCCCTGCAGCATCTTCTCGTAATCCCCATGGCTCCCTGGAGACTGGTTTGGGGAACTCTCGAGTCCTTCCTCTGTATCTGTTACCTCTCTCGTGTGAGGGATTAGAGAAAAGGCTTCTCTCACCGCAGGCTGGTTTTAAGGTAAGGTTTCAATGGAAAGGTGATCTGTCCAGCCAGAGATTATACTCACCCAGCCAGTATCAGGCCTCTTCTCTGCCAGAGTCCGAACAAAATCTGGGCCCTGCGATAAGTAGATCGAGAGATGAAACCGCGGTTTGCCTCCGTCCCATCTGGCTGCACTGCTGGGCCTGTGGCCCCCATGTCCAGGCCAGGGCACCGCCATGGTGGGGCCAATGACTTACTCGGGACGGGTCCAAAAGCTGCTCTATCTGCCGGTCCTTCCTGCTGTTCTCCTCCTCAAGGCGCCGAAGCTTTGTCCTCATCAGGTCCACATCACTTTTCTGAGTGTGCAGTGACTAAAGAAAGGAAGGACCACACGCACACGCCACGTGCACACAAACATGAAAGGAGACACTGCGTCAGAGGAGAAGGTTCAAAGCCGCCTGGTTCCCGCGTGGGGCACTGTGCGTGGCGGTGGGGTGGAGGGGGCCTGGATGTGACATGCAGGAGCACTGAAGGGCACGACTGGCATTTAGTGGGTGGGACCGGGGTAGGTGCCCGACGAGGTGCGGGACCACCACGCAATGAAGAACTTTCCCACCCAAAAAGCCATGGGCACCCCCACGGAGAAATACTGCCCACAGTAATTCTGGAAGGCACCAATGTCACATGAGAAACCATTGTTGTCACACCACCTATCACTAAAACTCATCAAACTCTAACGTCCATTTAAAATTCTCATCCCAGCTAAGGCTAGCTGGTCAGAGCAGTGGTTCCCAATATTTATCTGTGGATGAACTTGTCATCAATCTGTGGGGAACTGGGAAGAAAAAGACTCTGTGGTCTGTTCTTCACATAACTAAGCTTATTCAATTTCCAGAACTATCCTGTGTTTTAAAATTATATCCTTCCTACTATTCTGGACTTAATAGTCCTTTTATGACGATGGTGATGGTACAGCATTTGCCATTTTTTTCAATGTCCTCACTTGAAAAAGCTTTTTCCTGGTCTGTGAAGTCCCACAGCCTGAAAGGCACGAGGTTAACAGTACCCACAAGCCTCGGCCAGGGGAGGCCCACACAGGTCATCAGCTAGCGCCACAGCTGACTGGCTCCCAGCATCAGCCTGCATCTGAACTATGGTCACCTCGGAAAAGACCTTCTCCTTTCAAGATGCTCATGGTGCTCAGAAGAGAGACAGTGTCTGAACAAACCAGCCACCCGGGAAAGACCATTCAAACTGTGCATCCCACTGAGGGAGGCCAGGCACGTCAGCCACATGTCCACAGGGGGCAAGACTGCCAGTGTTGTGCTGGGACAGGAAAGACACCTGGCACTCAATGAGTGTTTAATGAATAAGTCAGTTAATACACAGGGAAGGTAAGAAAGCAAGTCCATCTAAAACCCTTGGACTTTGTCTGTAAAACCTAAGAAGACATAAACAGGTGGAGCAAAGAAGGTAGACTAGCAAGGGACCTCAGGACCCGAGGAATGACATGCAGAGATCCCATTTCCTTTTTGCCTCATACGAGCCAGACTGGGTACTGGAGAAGCCAACAGCCTGGACAAGCCGATGGGCACAGACAAGAAAAGCTTCCTCTCTGCAGCAGGAAGGAGGCAGCCAGACAAGGCAGATAATGTACAGACAGGCCTGCAATCACCGCAGAAAACACTGTGGCCCTAATCCCACCAGCAAAGGCCAAGTGGGGAGCTGAGATCCCCCCTCCCCCCCTGCCAGGCTGCAGCAGATGCCTTGCTCCCTCCTCCTGGGGAGAGGGGCTGGGTGGTCAGAGGAGGCCTACTGGAGGGTCAGGACTTTCCATTGTCCAATGGTAATGAGGCCTCACACACACACAATAAAATGGAGGACTTAAATCCTAACATGCCAATAATTACATTAAAGGTAAACGATCTAAACAAGCCAATTAGAAGACAGAGATTGGCCAGGCAGATTAAATAACATGCCCAGTCATCTGCTGTGTACAAGAAACCCACTTTAGACATAGTGAGATAGGTAGGTCAGAATCAAAGGACAGGAAGAGAGATGCCACTGAGACGTTACTCACAAGAGAGGAGGAGTGTCAGATAAGGCAGACTTCAGAGAACAGAAAATTACCAGAGCAGAGAGGGACATTACACGACGATTATAAGGGTCAATCCACCAAGAAGACAGTGAGCCCAAATGTGTAGCCACCAAACAAACAGAGCTGCAAAAAAACCTGATAGAACTGAAAGCGGGAGAGAAAAATGCATAATTATAGTTGGAGGCGTCAACACCCCTCTCTCAACAACAGATCAAAGAGCTGGAGAGGAAATGGGCAGGGATACAGAAGAATTCAACACCATCAACCAACAGGCTCTAACTGACATTTCTAGAATGCTCCCCCAACAACAGAATATCCATCCTGCTCAGGTGCCCATGGAGCATTCGCGCACACACACACGGACCACGTCCTGGGCCTCAGCAAATTTAAAAGGAATGAAAAGATACAGAATGTGGCCACAGTGGAATCAAACCAGAGGTCAACAACAATAATCTCAAACTCTCAGAAACTAAACAATGCAATTCCAAACCATCACGAGTCGGTCTTAAGGGAAAGAACACATCAAAAAATACGTGTCAGGATTTGTAGGACACAGCCAAGCAGCGCTGGATGGATCTGTGACAAGAGCCAGCCACAGACTGTCACATACTGTCTGATTCCACTCACGTAACATCATCAAGATGCCACTTTAGAGGGATGGACAGCAAATCGTGGCTGCCAGGGATGGTGGGGGTATGGGGTGGCTCCGCGGGGGCAGCGGGAGGGAGGCTTCTGTGTCCTGACGGCAGTGTTGGCACCACAACCTACACGTGGGAACACGAGACAACCGCACATGCACACTGTCCGGGTGTCACTCCCCAGTTCTGACGCTGCACAGCAGCTACATAAGAGGGAAGCTTTGGGGGAGACGGGGTGAAGGTGCAGAGACCTCTCTGATTCGTCTCTGCACCTGCCTCGGGACCTGTATTATTTCAAAGTAAGTTTCTGCCAATGATCTAACGCTTCCTGCTCTCCTACTGTACGTCAGGCACTGAAGCACTTTCATGGATTATTTTATTGAATTTTCATGGAGACCCTATGCAATTGTACTATTATCCTCATTTTTCAATAGAAACTGAGGCATCGCTTGCCATAGAAAAACTACTGATGCTCAGGACACTACAGCAATGGCACACGACTAAACATTAAACCTCTTCTCTGCATTTAGAAGCCCACGCTGATTTCATCCAGAAATCCATGATGGTAAATTTGAATGAAGGCGGCATAACTTTACCCAAAGACCCATTTCTGCCCCAAGAAGACTCCTTCTAGGAGTGCGGTGACTCAGTTCCAAACCTCTCGGTTATTTGGTACAGCCTCCCAACCAAGACAAGAGGTCCCTCCACAGTGTCGCTGATGACCCGCCATCCAGCACTCGCTGAGACTCTCTAAAGACGGAGCACCAGCTGCTCGGGCAGCACCTGCACAGCTGGACCGCGTCCATGCGTGAGCGTCCTGTGGACACAGGGCTGTCTTGCTCACATGGCTATTCCAGGTGCTCCTCAGGTGAGATGGCTGCCAGGCTCCCTGCCATGCTCTGGGTGTGCTGGCGGCCAACGCCCCGCTTAACTTCTGCTGCCCAGGCTGACTGCGGTCCTCCAGGTGGGCCCGACGGCTGAGGGCAGCAGGTCTTTAAACTGACTAACATTATGGAAGAGAATGGACGTTGTTGTTTCTCCAGGGGTACAAGAATGTGTATGGCTATTAAAGTCCGGGGCGACAAAAGCGGTGATGGGAAGATGATGAGATGACAACATATTTCAATGGAATTGACACTGTAGGGAACAAGAGACAGCCTGCGGTGGTAAAAAGAGCCTTGGCCTTGGGAAGGAGATGGCTTCGCTGAAGTCTTGGTTCTGCTACTGACTAACCTTGGACAGACTACTGACCTCTTTGAGTCTCAAGGTTATCACCAGATAATAGTTGTCACCTATCTCACGGAGCTCTTGTAGAGATCAGTTGAGACAAAGCACGTGAAATGTGCCATTAACACTAAAGAAATGCACAAGTAGGAGGTACGGCAAGAGCAACGCTGCCGGATGCACTGGGGCACTGAGTCTCAGGGTGCACAGCGGCTCTGATGGCAATCTCGTCCTCCCCCGTGTCTGCCGCATGCCAGAGAAACAGAGCAGAGACAGCTGGTGCTAGGCCTTTCGAACCCGGGTCAGCAGCCAGGGTTTACACTCACGTGCCATTCTAAAACTCACGTTCTTTCCACATGGGTCCATCCCGGCACAAACCCTGACTTCTCCACCCGTCACGTGCAAGGTTCCCACTGTGTAAGACCGACACGGGACAGACACACTACCTTCTTCAGCTCGATAATCTCGTCATACATGGCTTCTTTCTCTCTGTACACAGGGCTCCCAGGAACACGGCCTAGAAGAAGACACACAGCCTCTTAACAGGCTATCTGAAAAGGAGGAAGGATTCTTGGCTATGCCTAAGAAACACCTGGAAGTTAATAAAATTATCCTTAAAAAAAATAGCAGAAATATTTCAATGTTTTTAGCCCAATCATGATATTGTCCCGAAAAGGAAACCAAAAGCGGCAGTGATATGGAAAAAGCAAGAGAACACATTATCACAGGCAGAATCACACTACAAGGGTTACAGGAGGGAGTCAAAGGGAGAAGTGATATGTTTAGATTTTAAACAGCAAACAAAAAGAGAGACAAACAATGCTCGGAGCAGCTGACAACACCCATTCTGATGTCCAAACTGTAGACAGCACTCTGGTTTCCATACAACGCCCCATACCTTAGGATCCGAAGATCTTCTGGCCTAAGACAGAACTCCTTGTCAGTAAATGCACTCAGGTGCTGACCCACAGGCTACAGTGAGGAGGGGTCACCAGGCTTCCTACTGAGCACGGAAAAGCCTCGGGAAGAAACATGAGGGCAAAGACCAGACAGGAAGACAGAGACACGAAAGGAAGCTGATTCTTTCTGGTGAGATTTGGGCTTCTTATTACTATTTGCAATTGTCACTTCTAGTATCGTTTATATAATAAATGAACAGAAGACTCAAAATGTGAGGAGTTAGGCACAGAGGAAGCCTGGGAATGCCACTTCCTAGGAAGGCACAGTGGCCTTTCCGGAGTCACTGTCCTCAGGACACTCCACTACTTCCTACGGACGGAACGAGCATGGGAAGCCCCCAATCTCCCTCCTCTCTGCTTCTTCTTAGTCACGGCCTCGTCACCATCCACGTGCTCACCACCGCTGGCAGAACACCTGAGACCTGACCTCTTCTTAGAGCTTCTGCCAGATAGCCGGGAGTGCTGCTGGGGGTGGGTCCATGCACGCTCCAAGGTGAGGTCTGATCTCAGGGACTGGGTCAGGCTTCCTGGTTTGAATGTGCATGGATTTAATGTGACAGGCACAAGCAAACAGTGACAGGCGTTGCCTCTAAGACTCAATCTTCCTGGGTTGAAGGAAGCTGACATCGGCTAGTAGGCAGTGGCAGCCAGTGGTGTGCTGATACGCAGTAACTGAACTGGCTCCCAAAAGTAAGTAAATCCCTGATTTGTAGCATTTCCCCATTTCCATGGCATAAGTAGTCCCACCACGTCCAATTTTAAGCTGCCAAAAAATTCCTAAAAATTTAACAGCTGGCTCTTGCAACCAGGATGGAACTAGAGCCAACACACTGTTGCCAGCAGCGCTAAGCAACATGAGGCCCGAAGGATAAAGTGTCTCACACACACACACACACACACACACACACACACACCGTCCGAAACCACACTCACATGTTATGTAAAGCTAGGAGGCTCAGCGTCTTTGAAAAGATTAAAAACAGTGTCATCCACACGAGTCAGATCGCAAATCACCACCTGCAATTTCTAAAACCCTTCCCTGGAGCGGGAAAGGTCTCCCTTGGAGCAAGCACACACCTTGCTTTGGGCTTCCCAGCCACAGCTTCTGTGGGGTTAAGGACATTCTGTTGCCAAGGGGCAGGCTCGCTGCTGTCTTCAGAGATCTCCAGGATGCCACTTTCCTCGGCTTAGAGTGATACGGTGACTCTAGAAGCCAACACGTGGTTTTAGAGGAGCAAAATGTCAATGCCCCCTCAACACGTGTGCTTCAGAAAGACAAAAGGATAAAATATTCACAAGGGCATAATGACTCCTGATGAAAACATTCTGACAAAAGCTAAGAACACAGTTATGATATGTATATACACTTACATTTGTTTTTAAAATTTTGTTATAAAAGATAAAATAATGGAAAATTTAAAAAAAATATATAAATCTGTAATTCTACCAATATCACAATATTTAATTTCCCATTCAATTTTTTCAGATACATATATTTATATATAGTTGCAGCCATACAAACACATAATTTTGTATCCTTTACACTTAACACTGTTAATATTTTTGTTCATGTTGCTACACAATAATAACATTTATAACTTAATATACAAAATATTTAGAAGAAACAAAAAAAATTATACCTTTCCAGGGCCTTTTTGAACTTGTCGTCAAAATGAAGGAAATGTTTTAAAAATATTTTTTAATCTAGGGTTTCATCTCTTTAATTATGTAAAATATGACAAATTTATGCAAAACTACATTATTTATAAAGCATGCTCATATTTCTTA